TGGATGATGTGGCTGGTTTAGTTTGAACTTTTTTGGGTTGAAATAGGCTGATTAGGCTATTCTGTTAGCCACGTCAGCAGAAAACTGACGATGTTAACGGAGTCAAACAGAGACTAAAGGAGAGTGACCAACTTTGGATTGTTTTACTAAACTTAGTGACCACGAATGGAATTAAATATTTTAGTGATCAAACATGAACATTTTTTGTAATCTCAGTGATCAATCTTGCAATTTACCCTCCCAAATTATGCTGGAACATTTTTTGAATTATTTTCATTGGTCAAACAATTTGCAAGCTGCAATTGACAATTTGGTGGAACTTAAGTAGAAATACAACGAAATCCTTCATTCAATATACAAATCTCATTCAAATAAATGTCGTATACATGAGACAATCCATTATAAGAACATCACTAATTCGTTGTTCATCATCCATAACATCATACTACACTAACATCTATAAAGCTAACTTGTCCACATTAAATACCGTCAACATCAACTTGTTGATCAATGTCAAAATAACTTGCAATTGTTAACCTGCAAAAAGAATCAATAAAAAAATGAAGTTGCAAGTTAATATGATAGCTTATTTAACCATGGAATTCTAAAGTACAAATCTAAGATAGTGGTTCACTTACCTAAATTATAAATAAACTAAGCATTTCTCCCCACAGGCAGCTTCTGCAAATAAATCAGCTTTCTTTCTTACTCATCCCAGTAAAGCATAGCAGAGCAAGTAGTTCAGATAAACATCAATTATGAAACTCAGTAAGGATTCAGTATTAATATGTACTAATCATTAAACAAACTTACTAAATTAACACGTTGAATCAAATGAATTGAACATATACAAGGTTTGGTAAATAAGTTAACCAACATGTTATCATTCGATCATAAAAAAATTATGTTTCTCTCTACTCACTGCCATTACTCTACTGATAAATTTGACAGAGATGAATAATAATTAAATAATAGGCCTGTTTAATTTTTGTGTTCCAAATCTAAGAGAAAGAGAACATATTTTAAGAGAAAAGTAAAAAACATCTTTTGCCCTCCAATAAATCTTCTAAACCACCACCACATCACGAAGATCAAGCTTGGTTTAGTAAAGAAGTTCTTGTCCTTTTAAGGATCAAGTCAAGTATGGAAAAAAAAATATTAACACTGTTGAAAATGGTTGCATCAAACAACAGAAAAAATATGATCACGATAATACTGAATTCTAACAGAGAACTAATGAAAGAAGTTAAGGTGGTCTATATCAAAGTGTAGTGACTTCCTCTCATCAACACATCAGCTAAAGTGGATGGAATTACTTCTGTAGTTGCCCGGACAAAGAGCTATATATATGCTACAAAAATAAGTTATCTCGTAACTCTAAACAATGCAGTAGACCAGTAGTTGCCATGAGAAACAGCTAAGCTGCATAGTCTTTCTCCTGCAATATGTCAACATGCAAAGCAGGACAGATCCTAAATCCTAATTCCCCAAGTCCACACCAAGAATAAACAATAATACAATAATTGGGGAGTCAATTGGATTCATGTCAACCATCAGTACAATTCTAGATAACTCGATGGAAGTAAATTCAAGATAAATTCAGGTTATATCAAGCATGTAAGATGTTCTAGTGATCCTCAACCTCAGAATCGAAACATTAATCAAGATAATGAAATGTCATCAATGTATATAACACTTCAAACCTGGCAAATTGAGGTTCGTTATCCGCCACCAGCAAATAGAATGATGGTACACATGGTTCTATGGGATTGAGGATGGCCCAATCTTCTTGCCACTCAATCCATGGAAACCAACACAAAACAAAAGAAAGAGAAAATTACAAGGAAAATTTATAAAAGCCATAGAGTAGAAAGAACTCAAACTTCCTAAGTGAAAATTATACCCAAGGCAAGCGAGAAGTTTTTAATGGAATTCCAGATGGCCAATAATGCAAAATTAGCAACTGAGTGGCAGTGACTAGCACAAATTGTCACTCCTCTGCTTCTAGCCATCAGTGTCTTACCCTTATCAAAGCATGATTCGTTCCACTGATACGACCAAAGCTTAGATCTGTTTGTGGATACACGCAAAAGGAGAAGATGAAAAAAGAAATCACAACTCGAATAAAAGCGTAAAAAGGAAACAGATCCCTCTAATTGGCGTTGTTGCCTTCATCCCTACTCTGGCAAAATCAATCCCTAATGACTTACTCGATTACTTGATCTCTGTTCTCATCTTTGATGTCATCTCCTTCCCTTCGTCATCCAATGCCGAGCTCTGCAATTGGTGATATGGGATTGATTGAGATCTGAAATCGACGAGAAATTAGGATGAATAAGATGGGGGGAACCGAAATCAGCAACAATGAAGGGTATGAGAGCGAAGATGGACCAGGACAGGGAAAAGATAGGCCGGCGATTCGGCGTGAAAGGAAAGGGGGATATTTTTAGAGTGAGCAGAAGAAGAAGATTCAACCCCACGAAGAAATCAACTTCGAGGAAGTTGAGATTGGGTGTGGTGTGGATTTGGGGGCTAACTAGGGTTTGGGGGAAGATAGCAAAGTCGACTAAAATGGGGGAAGATTTTAATAAAATGGGTTTGTCGTGAAGTCGGAATTTGGCTCCCAAAAGATTTTAATAAAAAAACCCAACATACTTTCATTTTATATTTAGTTGGATGGTCAAATAATTTTAACCCAACAAGAAACGTTTCAAAATCATCTAAAAACATACAAGTTTCGACCCCAAAATTTCGGGAAAAGTTAATCTGCTAACTTGAAAATTCGTTAGCAGATACTAACTGATATCCAAAATACATGAATTAGTATCCAAGTACTAAAGTATCTAGAGAGCACAAACTAGTATTCAAAGTTTGCTAACTGATATCCACCATGACTAAACTATTATCCCAAATTCACAAACTAATATCTAGACAACACAAAATAGTATCCATATAGAACATAATTAGTATCCAGATAACACATAAGAGTATCCAGATAACATATAAGAGTATCCATATTGAATACTAGTTGGTTGTTTGTGGATACTAGTTGGTATTTGCTATTTGGATACTAGTTTGTGATGTTTTGAATACTAGTCTGTGCTATCTAGATACTTAGCAGACTTGGATATTAGTTCATACATTTTGGATATTAGTTAGTATATACTAATGAATCTTCTGGTTAGCAGAATAACTAGGTCCAAAATTTCCCCCTTACAAACATCGAAACAACGTAGTTTTGGTAAACTCTTAAGCAGCGGAAACAGCGTCGCAAACTATTTTCACCATTCACGACAAACAATATTCGTCGCCAAAGCTCTCCAAACAATTTGTAACGCTATATTTCGCCGCACGAACTTTACAAATGATCTCCGATGAAACTTTCGTCGCAAAAAAAAAAAAAAAAAGAAGAAATCTTCGTCACAAGTCCAGTATCCTTCCTTCCAGGGAAAATTATACCCATCAGCGACAAAATGTCAAAATCCGTCGCCTAAGACCATCTTTTAGCGACGAATTTTGTTTCCGTCTCTATGTCGCCAAAGTCTGGTTTTTTTTTGTAGTGTTTTTTGTTTCCTATTACTGTAACACCACAACCCAAACTTAAGTTAAATTTTCCCTTATTACCCTTCCAAGTATAGTTTTTTTTTTTTTTTTTTTTTGCATACCAAGGAGGCCAAAGCCAAGAAAGAGAACAGTTAAAGGGAGAAACTAGAAGAGGGAAGAAGAATTCGCCACAACACGGCGCTCAAAAGTGACACCTCTAACATCATCCTGCAACACATGGATTATCCCAGTAGGTGGGTCAGTCAGCTCATACTTCCCATAGGGATAGACGAGACTGTGCTTCGAGAGCCAGTCCGCGGCTCTATTCCCTTCACGGTAAGTATGAGACAGGCTAACCAACCAATCCTGGCCAATCTTTCTCCGAATAAGACTCAGCAGAGTGGCATAAGGATGAATGGGATCATGACGCTCCTGAATCAGCTGCAGGGCCAGCTGGGAATCCGACGCAAGCTTCACCACCCGGAAGCCGAGCTTCCAAACTAACTGCAGACCCTTCCAAGTATAGTTGCATTGATCAGAATTACACACATTTATCAACTCACCCACTAAAGTATAATTGCATTGATCAGAATTACGTACACACATTTATCAACTCACCCACCAACAAACCATTTATACTCCCACTTCCCTTATCCCGTCAGACTCGTGAACCCCATTAATAGAGACAGCTAGCTAGGCAACCCATTACAACCTCGCTCTCTCTGTCCCTTAAATCACTACAAGAAAAAACGCTATTTGCAACCAATAAATTTGGTCACTAAAAAGGACAAAATTGGTCATTAATACTTTTTTGCAACTAAAATCTTTTGGCTGCAGAAGTGGTCGCTATAGCCGCGTTACGAATACCTAACGCAACCAAAATAGTGATTGGTAGCGGAAAAGAAAGATATCGCAACCAATTTTGCCAATGGTAAAAAACCCTTAATTTTTCGCGACCATTTTAACTTGGTTGTCATAGTCCAACCTAATGGTTGTGAAATGTAGTTGATTGGTCGCCAAACCTATAAATGACAACCAATTTGATATGACTATTAGTAACATATTTTTTTGGATGCAAATAGAATTTACTAATGTTTTATAGGTGACCATTCAATTTGGTCGAGAAATTATTATATGTCAACCAATTATATTATTGTGACAACCAATTTTTTGGTTATGAAAGTTTAGCACAACCATGAAATTTGGTCGTGAAAAATATATATGCCAACCAACCATATCATTTTAGACAACTAACTATTTTTGTTATAAAAGTGTTACACAACCATAAGAATTGGTCGTGAAAAACACATACCTCAACCAATTAAAACATTTTGTTGACCAATAATTTTAGTAATAAAGTTCAAATACAACCATAAAAATTGGTTGCTAAAAACACATAAGCCGACCAAAACAATCATTTCAAATGACCAATTTGATTGATGCGAATTTGGTCACTAAAATGAAAATACTAAAAATTAAATAGAATTATAATAAAAAAATTGTTTCATATAACAAAAAAATTTAGTAACCAAAATTACAAGTACACAATTTATTGGTTAGTAACCAAAATTCACAATTACATAATGTTACCACTGAGAATCAGCCCACTATTTCAAAAATCACAATGACACGAATAAGTTTTGGGGCTGAAAGCTTCGAAACCTCTTGTGTTTTTCTTTGTTGAATCCTACTTCGTGCATTGCCTGCAAAGGAGATGGAGTTCAGCATGTTTTCTCACCAAAGCAACCCACTGCTTAAAGATGATGTCTCAATTGCAACCTGAGAACACATAGAAACCATTCCCGTATTAGTTATCACAACTTCAAGGGCTATCAACCTCACAAGTGTTGTAAAAAAGGTTAAGTTTTTTGAAGATGGGATGGACAAAATTGTCATTAACAACAAATTCAGCCTGTTTTCTCACCAAAGTAACCCACTGCTTAGTAAATTCATACATAATAACTTGTCCACTTCAATTTGAATTCATGAAACCTTAATGCTAATGTTTTTAGTTAATCTATGAACTGTTGCACTATCTATAAAAATTGTTTGACGAACGGCTACTTATTTCCTCAGCAAAACTGCAGTAGCTCGCAACAGACAATGGAAACTTAAGCTTTTGTCACAAAAGAAATAAAGTCCTACCTAAAATGTTACAAGAGCACAAAAATGGAATGAGTTTGTGCATCTACCTGTCAAAGAGTCTCTTGGGGGAGGACATTATGTAGTTGTAAGTGCTGTTGAAGTCGTACGAAGGTACACAGCTTCAGGACAAAAATATCAGAATACATAACTACAAGAACATACTAATAAGTGCAATGGCATGAGAAAAGGAAGAGCAGTGAACCAACAAACCTGTCAGAGAGAAGAACAAATCTCTGATGGGCTGGATCATGAAAAACAAATCCCCGAAAGCATGCAACTGCTTGGTGAAGATCTTATGGAACATACAATAGTTCATCATTCAACTCTATCATATCCTTATGAAGAGGACCAAAAGCTACATAATGCTTTTAAACCTGCAAATGGATTGGCCACGAAGCATGGTATCTGCTAAAATGCATCTTTTATGCCAGCCACTGGTGATGACCAGTAGGCTATTTATTCTGCCCCTGGTAGCAGAGAAAGTTCATATGAACCCTACTTTGCAAAGATTAAACAGAAACAGATAATGTGGGGGCTAAAGGAAGATTCATCGTTGAGTGGTATGCCAGCCTTTGTTCTTGACAGTAAAGCCATTAACTCCCAAATCCAACAACTGAAAATTAATGATAAAATCTAAAATCTAAACATGTCTAACTTATGGACTCCAAAATTATTTTACCAAGTCAGATAGATATCATCCATGAGGCAGATCTCCATTCAGATTGATCACTAATGGAGAAGGCATTTTACCTCTCTGTTTTCCCACTTCAGTCCTCCGCGGTCTCATGGAATATCAAATGTCTTCTCGCACCCAATATCCATTTTCTCTATTGGTCCAGAATGAGGTGTACTGTATGTTATATACTTGTCTGCACCAGAACATTAATGTTGAGTACTTGACCCTCAACACGGTAAAAGGCACGAAAGTATAAAGCATACCGAACTTAGTAATATGTAACTATGTATACCTGCGAGCTTATGAAGGGCACTATCTGTTGCTTGCTGTTGGGCATTCTTCCAAGAACAGCAGTTTGTCTCCGGGAATGGTTCGACCCTGTAGCTTACAAATGGCCGTGAAATTGAATTGAATTGGGCATTGCTTGCGCAGAATAGATATAGTAAAGCATAAATGTCCATTTCCCTTTTTTCAAGAAACACAACTAATACCAAACACCATAAACACAGAAAAATTCTAGATCCATCAAATTCTTGGGCATTGGATAGATACAGTAAAGCATGGTGCAGCATGATTTCTCATGAATACCTCTTTGAGAGTTACTTTACGAGTTGCCAGAAGCTCATAGTATTTGAGTTGCAGATCCGACATTTCACATTGAAGCTTCTCGTATTCGCACAAACTCGGCCCTCCCACATCTGTTGAACGAATATGTAGGACAAAAAGCAACAAATATAAAACATGTCAAATCCTACCATGTCTCTGTTACTAAATGAAGCAACACAAACAGGATCGAGAATATATACTACAATGAACCCATACATGCTACCTGCCACTTGCTCATACGAGCGAATTAAACTGAGGACATCACGATATATCGATTGAATAAGCACGTATATTTAGTCTCATTGCACTCACGAAATAAACCAGCCCATTCCATTGTATAGTTCTACTGAGAATGGATCCTTACTATTTCACCATCACCAGAATAGTCCCTGTGGAGTTTATTGTAGCCTTTTCCACTATTCTGCTGAAGTTGATTTCAAGGAATACAAAGCAAAGACACAAAGCACATGGCAGCAATTAATTGAAAAAATTGAAGTTGAGTTCCAGGAAACAATCTCTCATTCAATCAACTTACAGAATTCCAGATGTACACTATTCTCCCTTGTAGCAGCAAGGCAAGTTGGCGGAGACTTTCTTGGCTTGTGTTCATTGTAAGAAACTGATCTCCCCACCTAAATCCGTGAACAATCGCAATCATCAAGCGAACTAAACTAGAACCACTCGGTACTGTAAGAAGAGCTAAGAACTGGGAAAACCGACGTGAGCTTACTTGAGCGGCCATGAGTTTGTGCGAGGCGGGCTTGGCCAGAGCTGGAGGCGGGATCAATTCTCCTGCGACTAGAAATTCCAGAACCCTAAATCAGTAGAGAGAGATCGGGGAGGCGAAGGAGAAATTCCTTCCACGAGGATGTATTGCGGCGGTGTAAGTATCCGCGATCAAGATGCTCGAATTAGCTCGGCTTAGAGAGAAATAAAAAATATGCTCGGATCTGAAGTTACCTTCTGAGAATCGACAAGGAGGATAGATGAACCGAAGCAACCAAGCTTCTAAATCGCTTCCTCTGGAAAGTGGAGTAGCAGTTTGCTTCTTCTTTTCAGCTACCAAACCAGAGATTGGCGAAGGATCGGGACTTCGTGGATATTCGGCGAAGCGCATGGAGAAGAAGAAGATAATGGTATTGTGCAGTCGATTGGTGAAGGATCGCGATTTGGTAGGCGATTTGGTGGATCAGAGTCGATTTGAGGAGAATTTGGATCGGAATTGCATAGGATGGAAGAGAGAGAAGAGGGTAAAAGTAAAGGTAAGTTGTATTTAATTTTCGTTGAATAGGTCCGTTGTTTTATATGTTTTCAATAAGAGCATCACGTTTTAGTGTTAGTCATCTTTACTACCTAAAATTTGATTAGTACAGTGACAACCAAATAATTTAGTTGCTGAATTTTTTTTATAGGAATCGCAACCAAATTATTTAGTTATTTAAGATTTTCAAATTTCATGCCTAAACTCATAACCAGTAATATTTGGTTGGAGAAAGTAAAAAGCAATATGCTACCAAATTATTTGGTTGGAAAAAGTAGAAATTATTTTGCTACCAAAATTATTTGGTTGGAAAAAGTAAAAAATCATTTTGCTACCAAATTATTTGGTCTCTTCAAGTTTTATTTGGTTATCAATACTTTGAAATTAATAGACAACCAAATTTTTAATATTTTAGCTACCAAAATATAATTGGTTGTATATACTACCCTTTTCACAACCAATTTTAGTTTGGTTGTAAACTTTTTGGTTGCAAAAGCTAGTTTTTGTTGTAGTGAATTAAACCAAAGGAAAAGAATGAGAGAGCCACCCTTGTTGCATCTGTTGATTCCAATTCTTACCCAGCCTGCAAAAGAGAACCACTACACCCCATTTCCCCTTGACATAAACGCAGGTCAAGATAGAGCAGCCTCTACTTCCGCCGGATCCATTTCTCCGACGCTCGGATCTCTCTTATATATTCTCACGTGCTTGAAAGAAGGAAGCAAGAGTCGTTCGAATCCAAAACATTTCCCATGTCCTGTAGGTAAGGAACAATGACCCTAATGAGTTTCCAAGCTTAGACTCGTGTATACATAGCTAATACTTATAACCTTGTCCTCAACGGAAGCTTGGCCGACAAAGGTGCGGAGTGACCGAACGACGATTAAACCAAGGAACAACGACCCTCGTGACTCAAATCAAGTCTAGGCACGAATAAGAGGTAAGGAGTCCCGATCCCTCGTGTTGGAATCGATACTTACTTGAGTTCCACGAGTTTGTAGAAATCTGGGACTTGGCGACGGATGTACAGGCTTTCAGTAACGATTATATCCGTCGCTGAAAGTCCGCCCAACTTGAAGCGGAGGTAGTCCTTTTGGGATGGCCAGTGTTGACCTTTGGTCACGCTTTCCATGACTGTCACTAATGGAGCTGTAGCTTTTAAGATTTAAGTATCCAGGTTAAGCAAGCAGTGGCGGCGCCAGCTAAGTCGAGGTAGGGGCCCGTCACAAGATATCTAGAAAGTGAACAAGAATTACAAGTTCAGTACCTCGTAATAATGTACCCTTAATAACGTACTAAGACACTGGTTTATTTTATATTATTATCAAGAATGGAATATATGATTAGGACTGACCCCAACGCCCGCATTCAAGAACTGCAAGCAAGTAGGAGTATTCAGGCCACCGGCTAACATAAAGCTGTTACTCGAGATGTCATCGTCACAAGGGTTAGTGATTGCGGAAGCTTCCAAGTGACCATTTTCACTTATGTAATTTTATTAGTAGGTTTGAGACTGATGCTCATTTATGATTTTGTTAAGAGAGATTTCCTATGGTGACTTCAAATTATTTCATGATATATTAATCATTCCTTTTCGCTTTGAATAAATGTTGATTTCTCAAGAAAATTTGATAAAAATAGTGTTCGGCCGAGCTAGGGTGTTACACTTACATACCGATACCGTCTTATCAATTCAATAACCGATTAATAAAAAAATCGATTAGCACCCCTAATGGTATCCTCCTTGCGCCAAAGCATTGCTCTAAGAACTATTATCCTTAAAAATGTAGTCAGAAACAACACAGTCCAATCACCAATGATTGGGAGGCAATTGCATTGCTTAGTAATATCCCACGATTTAATCTTGGGAATTTTCTCTCTCTCTCTGTCTCGTATATTGGATAATTTGAAACAATTTAGACAAAAAGTGATTTTGATTCATTTAAGCCTCTTTTGAAAGGTAATGCATCATGATTGTTTGGTTATTCAAGTTTCCAAATGTTCGCCTAATTATTTTGTTTCCCTAATTATGTAAAAATGAGAGAATGTATTGATAAGCCATTGAGGACACTAGAGGTGTGTTATGCACTAGAGATTCATTAACATAGAGATGATATTTAGGGGAGCTCGGGGAGTGATAACTTTGATAGTCTCGATAGTGAAAATAAAAAGAATATTAAAAGATTTGTTGAACAAAATGTGCAAGTTAGAGTTGTTCCTGATGGACTGGAAGCATACGACATAAGTCGAGAACAAAAATGCAGGTTTATGAACAAATTTAAAGCAGAAGTTGCATATAGACCGGAAGTGATCACAACTTCTCCATTAGATTATAATAATAAAAAACTTCTCCATAAGAGAATTCGAGACCAGAAAAGTTTAGAGGAGGCAAATTATGTGTCCTCAATAAGTAAGATAGATCATGCCTAAGAAAACTTAAGGTAGATAATTTTGCAACAAAAACAATAAGTTTTGGAAATCGTTAGAGGTACTTGGTTTATACTTTTGAAAAACACAAAATGATGATAGGCGCAAATAAGATATGCTTGACTATGAGTTGACATAGCATTCTTGCAACACATATCTTCATCTCCTAAACATTAAATACAGATAAAATATATGTTCATATTCATGTAAGATAACTTTTAGATCTATTTCTTACTCTATCCTACAACAATAACATCTGTCCCGCTATAAACGATGCGTCAATTAACTTATAATTATTTGAAAGTTCAGCATATATCACAATAAACTCTATGTTTTCATAACCGGGTCGGAGGCTGAACCGGAAAAGTTAGTGGTTTAGGGTTCAGTGGTTAACCATTACAAAACCGTTAGTGAACCGTTGATAGAACCGTTCATGATATATAACATATAGGACTTGTATATTACACTAATTTAGTAATGAAGTTATCATTCACCATAAACAAATTTCAATCCATATCATCACCAAAATATCTAATAAATCATTCAAACCTTCTCACAAAAGAAATCATAATCTTTTTAATTCAAATTAAAAATTATGGCGCCATTCGATAGTGGAGAACGTAGAGTCGAGAACAAGGTTGAAAAATTAGATAATTAATAATTATGATATGATGGTATTAGTTTAAGTTAAAGTAATTTTTTTTAAAAGAATTTGCTTAAAATAGTAGACCAGCTAAACCGTGGTGGTTCACCTGATTTTATGTTGAATCGTGAAAAACCGTTTGGTCCATCAATAACCGTTCAAGCAAAGAACCGAACGGCTATCATAACTGGTTTGGTGGCTCTGCTGGCCAGGCCGTTGATCCGGTTCGATTCTTATAACAATACGTGTAACTGAAAAGAAGACATAAACTAATTAAATCAAGCATACTCTAGAAACTTCTTCTTTTTCTAAATTACACATCCTAGAAACTTTTCTTCTCAATGATCAAAAGATTGTTCAATATAGAAGCCAACAAACTCATGCATCATTGTTGTTGCTTCTTGTAGGAGAGGTGTTGTTCCGGACGTTAATGATTTGGTACGTAGCTGCCGTAGAGACAAGTTTTCTCATGATGACAGATTATTATATAGTATTATAATTAACGTATATTCTGCTTTGGATTTAAGCAATGTTTTCTGCTTTGAGATTTTTCATGAATCATAGCATTGTCCGCTCGCTCAACATAAAGAATTGCGATTGTTGCATTCACACTTATTATATGCACTTAATATATTTTCAATGCATCAGAATCGTCCCATATTATTTGTTCATTAAATCAATTATGGTTTGGGTTAGAAAATAGCAAAATTCACCTGTATAGCCATAACTATCGATTTTGTGACAATAATAGCCACTTCTGGAGAAATACACAAAATAACCAGATTTTGGATGGTAGTTTGACAAATCTACCCATTTTCGTTACAAATTTTAACGGTGTTAGAATCGACGCATACGTCAGCGACAGCTCGACATGTCTTGCCACGTGGACATCACGTCATATTTAGTCGATACGTTAGTATAGCCAAAACTTTGATATTAATGACTAATATATAGCCATTTTTTCAAAATTAAAAGTCTTGCTTCTCAAAATTCTTCCTTCCTACTCCAAATCTCATCGTCCTCTTAACCTAAACCATTCACAAATAAAATAAAAAAGAAGTAAGGCATGGACAAACTTAATCAAAGACAAAAAAAAAATTCGAGGATGGCGTACGCAGCGGAAGAGTTTATCACAGAGTATGTCACGCTTCCATGACTTGATGAGGCCACAGAATCTCTCGTGTTACCACAGAGAGATGGTGGCAAAGTGGGCTTGAGAGGAGTGGGGCGAAGTGAAGAAGGTGAACGCAGATGTGATGGCACAAAAAAGATGGCAGGGAAGGAAGTTGAAGGGGGTCTATAGCCCCAGCACGACCATTAACATTCGCTGTCCATAATTTTTTAATTGGGTTAAGAGGACGATGAGATTTGGAGTGTGATGGAGAGATATCAGGAGACGGGATTTTATAGTTTTGAAAAAATGGCTATATTAGTTATTAGTATCAAAGTTTTGGCTATACGAATGTATTAAAAAAATGATGTGACGTCCACGTGGCAAGCCGTGTTGAGTTGTTGTTGACGTGTGCGTCGATTCTAACACCGTTAAAGTTATAAACGGAAATGACTAGATTTGTCAACCTATTATCCAAAATCTAGCAATGATTCTATACAAATGTATTTTGACATAGAAAATTAAGGATTGGGGTTCACTTGTTAGAGGTTAGGGTATAGTATCATTGTCCCAAATTTCGATTCATTCATTGTCTAAATAGCAAAACACGACGAGCTTACTATAGTATCATGCTCAAGAATCATTCAAGATTTACTTTGATTGGAAGGATTTAGTGTTTAGAAATTTAGGTTTTACAATTTGGGATTTAGTGTTAGGGTTCAAAATGAATGTTTATGACTTAAGGTAATGCATTGATTAGTTGTGATCCTATCTTATATCGTCATATTAGGACTATTGCTAACAATATAATTCAAAATCGATGTCTTATGATTACTTTTGGACTATACATATTTACTGGTAGCAATGTAATGGGTTGAG